GAAAGAGAGTTCACTAATATACCCAGCGATAAGTCATCCAACTCCTTCCTATCGAAATCATGAATGTTTGGAATCCAAATTATGCAATTGGATTTCTTCATCCTAGTTTTAAGATGTTTGATTTGGTGTTTTGAGATATGAGTATTTTTCTTCTATTTTTTGGCCTTGAGCGATAAATTCTTGGGTACATTTCATTGGCACTGTCAAACCTGCATCCTAATTGTTGGGAAATCAATAGGGTTTTCCAATCAATATGTCGCTATCTAAATTGTGAAGGGTCTTTAAATTACTCTTTAGCACGTTTCCTATCGTCTAGGAGGATGCTATAACACTTTTTCAAAGTTTACATAGAATCTATCAAATAATTTAAATTTAGATTGTCTAGTCCCGTAATGATAATTCTCATCAAAATGTGTTTTGTTTGGAGGAGAGAATCAATGGCACTATTTGCAAACTACTTTCCTTCATTGTTGGAGTCAAGAGCACTTTCTTAAAATGAGAATGGATATGCTTTTTAGCAACCCATGCCTTTTTAATGCTGAATAGAAATTTGTTTGTAGTTTTCAAAAAAAAATCCTTATACTGACTAAAAAATAAGAAAGACTTTAGGTATCAGAATGCTCTTAGTGAGTGTATTCCTTACATGGAGAGAAGTATGACTTTCACTAGCTCCATGTTTGATGTGAATCGTGAATTCAAGACCAAAGAAGAAAGACTTTGGCCTATGGTAAATTTTTTGGAGAAAGTTAAACTCAGCTAAGACGGTCTGAAACTTGTTGCAGTCTTCTTACCTTTATTTCTAAAATGCAATGAAGGTGGTTAGGGAAACTCTGAAGGATGCAAAAATAAAACAGGTGAAAGAAGTGGCTACGTTGACCAAGAAGCTTGAAAAATATATTAAGGTAAGAAATATTTGAAGAAGAAAGTTGAGGAAGTTAAAAGGGAAATGGGGTCCCCTAATTCAAGATTTGAGATACGAGAAAAAAATTGAGATGGATAATCTTGTTATGATTGACAACATCATGGTTACGGCCTAGGAGGCTGTTAACAAGCAAAATGTCATGAATCATGATCCTCAGTCTTGGAGTTTCCTTGAATGTTGTAGACGCTGATATTGAAAATTCGATGATTAATTGGGAGTTAGAGTTTTCCCTAAGTTCTTCTTGATTTATTTCATGTTTAATATTCATTTTGTTGGCAATGGGATTGGTTCCCATTTTTACTAGTAATTTGAATAATGAGTTGTGGGCTTTGTCTCGATTTTGATTGGGTATTTTGAATAACAGATCGTGGAGTTTGTCTCGGTTTTGATATTGAATAATGGGTATTGGACTTTATCCCAATATTGTGCCTTGATGCTTGATTTTTTATTTGTGTTTATGTTAATGCACATATCTTATTGCAAGGGAATTCTCGGCCAAGGGTTTTTGGGCTAGGCCATTTTCCCTGCTTTATAAACTTGAACAACGATGGATTGCTTTTTGGGGTCGTTCATCTTGTTGATGGTGAGACAATTCAAGAAGAACTCTCGTACCATATTTGTGGTGTTTCATGGGTGTTTTCATTTGCTTCCTTTTAGGGGTAGGATTTGCCTATTTAGTCTCTTTATATGAGTTTGTTCGATCCCGTGGATAATGCAAAGTAGGAAAAAGATGTTGAATAAAAGATGCATTTGAATTAACCATGTTACAACTTAAAACTTCAATTTACAAACTAGCTCTAAAATATTTTTAAAGCTTTTTTCGCATTTAAGTTCTGAAGATTTGTTTCGCCAACCATCCAAAGTATAAGCGCTCCCTCAAAAGTCAACAACTCGATATGGTTTATCCTAGTTGAGGGCGAGCATTCCATCTAAAGTGTTTTTATTATCGACATCATCTCTTTTTAACGCAAGGTTATCCAAGGTAAATTCTATAAGGGTGACTTTTCTTTTGTATTTTGATGTCCTTTTTTACTATATTATGGTTTTGTTTATCACGACCTAGTCTCTGCATTCTTCTTAGAATTCTAGCTCTTTCTTGCAACATTTCTTCGTTGATCTCCTTAGGCATGTGGTGTAATGTCCTTTAACTCAGCTCTCCCATTTTGGCAAGGATCACCACTTCCAACTTAAACCAAATCACCTTGTGAACACCCCTAGCTCTTACCACAATGGGTACATGGTGGTTTGGTATGCCGTTAACTAGATCATAATCATAAAATGATAGGGACATCTCTTCACTTCCAATAAGTCATTAGGATGCATCCTATCATTTGGATTTTTCCCACATTACATCAGGGAAAAACAAATCGTTCCATTTGAGCGAGAAAGTCACCATACACGACGAGGGATTGGATATCTCACTCACCACCTTGTACTTGAGGGGACAATTTACGGGTAAATATTCCCAAACAAAACACAATTTCATGTCGATGCATGCTACGGTTTAGATGTCATCCAACCGATTAAGAATTCCTTCAGAGTACAGGTGTGTAGAAAAAGGTGGAACCAATTTTCTTCTTTTTTCCTCCATTAACTTAGAGTGATTACTTTGGATGCTCTTAGTCGTACTCGAGTGATGAGTCTGTCAAAAGGGTTGTGTGGAGAGTTTCTTTCACTGAAATGCACCATCTAGGTTGGAGGGGGGAAAAGGAAAAGTTGTTGAACATTTTTCATAGATGATGCTACTAATCTTATATGGACCTGAGAATGCTTAAAAATGATTAATGTGCTTGGATCTAGTGGTGAACTTCTACAAACACTCTAACACCTAAGTCAATGACCATCAAAGATAATTTTGAACCTTTTCTCGTATGTGTTATCGGCCTCGTTGGACCGTTAAATTGGTTCGTCGGCTCAAGTGAAAACAAAAATTAGTATTATTTGTTGTCATATTTGATTTTTTTTCTATGTATTATAAATATTATTTTTTATTGGATGAGTTAATAGTGAAAACTAAAAAAACTAAAACTCAACTAAGAACTAAAATTCAGAGCTTAAACACAAAACTATAACTAAAATTCAAAACTGAACTTATATTTATTTTTAAAAGTTATAAACTATGTATCAATGAATTAAGTTTCAAAAACATAGATCTGAATCATCTCCCTCATAATTACTTTACTTTCTTTTAATTAATCACCCTTTCGAGCTCCACATGTCTCTAATCACATGATTGTTGCAAACCATCTTCCACTTCTGAGCTTAACTTCATTTCCATGTCCATAATTAATTACTTGCATGTTAGTTTATCTGAGAACTCTGTCCCTTACATTTGCACGTGCAACTTGTACCTTACCACATGAGTGCGCCCATCTCTGCTAGCTCTTTTTTCTCAGAACATGTTATCTTTATATCTTTCCAAGAACTTGGGCTATCAACTTTAGTTCACCCCATGTTCTTAGCATTGCTTTCAGTTTTTGTCTCCACTTTTTTGTTGCATGGTCATTTTTGTTTTCCCTTTACCTCTATATTATTAAACTTATGTTTGAAAAAGTGAGAAAACTTAACTTAGTGATCGAAGCTAGCTATAGCTTTAAAAAAACCAAGTTGAAATCATAAAACGTGTCAAAAAACCATAGTTTTGAATTGTAGTTTACAATGACAATTGCGTCTGCAATATTGCTGATACGTAGTTTCTGTAACAATATATCAGACTACATCGTTTTAGAAGTTGCAAGTGTGATTCTCTGCATCAATGTGGTTTTTTATGTGATTTGGCTCAATGTGTCTCAATTTCAAACACAAAGAAAATTAAAAATTAAAAGCTACAATTAAAATATGAGAGAACAACGTTTAGAGCATTTGAAGTGCGTTTAGATAGTTACAAGGCAATGCCAACATCCTATTAAAGGAACTCATTCAAAACCGCAAGCACTATATGGGGAGAAAAGCAATAAAGGGTGGCACGCTTACTAGCTTGTGCACTTGTTAGTGTCTTTTTCTTTTGTTGGTCAGTTTTGGACTTTTCCTTCAATCAACGTATACGGCACACATCTCTTACATCAAGCTTAAAGACAATTTAAATTCAATCATGGTGAAACACGGATTGTGATTTGAAGGATTATCAATTGTTTATAAAATATAATGCATCAAAACAATAAAAGCAAAAATGATTGTAAAATTACAGTTTTTAGACATACTTTCAGTTTTAATATTATTTTTATTGTTTTTAATATTTGATAATTAATATTTTAATAAAAATATTATTTTCTCTTTTTTTAGTTATATATATTTTTTAATTTATGTAAAATAATCACCTGAATTATTAATTATGATACTTTTCATGAGAAGTCACAGAAAAATGTAGTTGTCTCACTTCTCACTTTGTATGAAAGCACCAAAATCACTCACAACGTACCAAAATAAAAAGAGAGCACAAAAATTCCATGATTGAAAGAATGCATCATACATCACTCTCAATATTCAAAGAATTTTTTTTATACTGTATAGAATTCAACTCTGTCCACTTTTACCTTCACAACTATTTAACACCATTCCTTCATTCAAAATGTTCACTCTCTCAAGTCTAGCCTAATAAACACCAATTTCAACATATTACTCCAAATACAAAGATCATTCAATATTTTCAAAAGAAAAAAAAACAACAAATTTTAGAACAATATAATAATTAATTACATAAAAAAAACTATATCAATAGTAATATTATAATATATATAATAACAAAGGTAGGTGACAACAATAATAAATTAGGCCCCATTCATAGAACCAACACCTAATCATAATCCTTTGCACTTTATGATACACACATTCACTTATTCCTTATCACCCTTTGGTACTAGCTAGTGCTTACAATATCTCATCTCATCAACAAACTCAATACAAAACAAATCAACAATTCTCTCACAGCTTTCAATCTCGACCGTCTGATCAAAATTAATATCAAAAATATTTTAAAACCGATTTTCATCTGATCTCAAATTAACGGTCGAGATTGTCTATTAAATTTAATCGCACATTTTTTAACTGCAGAGAATCCAAATCCAAATCCAAATCCGTCTCAGTACTGTAATATGTCAGAAGAAGCCATAATAGACATATTACTCAAAGGGTTGAAGAACAAGAAGCCATTGTTTGGCTCAACAAAACCTCCATTGCTTGAATTCATAACAGCAACAATCTCATTCAAAGATTCTAACCTGCTGCTCAATTCACCAATCTGAGCCCTCAAAACAGAATTCTCCGCCTCAACACTCAAACACTGTTGAGTGGTGATATTAACACTTGTGAGTATTTCTTGATTCTCTTTCCTCAGTTTCGTCACTTGAGAAACAAGATCATCCAAGTGCTTCTGTTTCCTCATCCGAGACCGTCTCGCTGATTCGCGGTTCGATATCATCCTCTTCCTCTTTCTCTGATCCATCAAAGCCTGTAAATCTTCCTCCGAACCTGAGTTTTGTAGCAGAGATGAACCCGAACCTGAACCCGAACCTGAACCTGATGATGTTCCACTTGATGAAGCCATGATGAGATATTAATCAACTTAACTAGACCCTTTTAATATAAAAAAAATACAACAACACTAGCAGGACCCAGACACACGCTAGAAAATGAAAATTAATACTGCAGAAAATATAAAATATTTTATTTATGATATAGATATAGATGATATAGGTATAAAGTAAGAGAGACTAAGAATCATGAAACGTAGTAAAGCCAGTAGAGGAAAGTAACAGAGAAAGATTGAACTAAATGGGTCCTGCGCCTAACAGTGGAATTGATCATACACCCAGAAAAAAAGATTTCACTGAGAATCGGATACATGAATTTCAAACATTAACAACAAGATGTTGGACATTTAATCAAGATGAAATTTTCTACTTGGTGATTAAAGAGAGAACATGTGTGGAACAAGTGTTTTGATAGAAGAGAAATGATGGAGCATATATAAATAAAATATCTTAGCGGCTATAATAGAAAGGTAGAGTAATATGATAGAAAAGAATGCGAAAGTGGAAGAGGAGTCTATGTGATTTGAGTAGGGAATTTATAGAAAGCCAACAAGTTGGTGGAGAATATTTAATTTTGTTTATACAAGAAACAACTAAGGTCTGTTTTAATTTTAGAAATGGTGTCACTTACTGGTGAAATAAATATAATTGAAAGACAAAGAAAAAAGAAAAAGGTAATCTTAAAGTTTGATACTATAACTCAAGATATTAAAAAATTTCTTTTAATTTAATGACAAAGTACAGTAGCTCATAGCTTTAAATTGCGGTTGTTGTGGTGGATATAGATGTGATTGTGGTCATTAGAATTTAGATTTTTTTTTTTTTTTTATATATCATGTCATTTCTCATGTTTCTAATCTAACGGTTTAAAATTTATAATGAATAATTAAATAAAAAAATTATTTAATAGGAGAGAGAAATTGACAAGTAATTTGTCTTTGTTTTTTATTTAATTATTCATTATAAATTCTGAACCGTTAGATTAGAAACATGAGAGATGACATGATATATAAAAAAAACACCTAATATTATGATATCGTTGTAGCATGAATTTTTATAAGGTGTTTGAAATACAATATCAAAAAACACCTAATATTAAGTTTTTTCATTACATTAAATTGAGTTTTAAGATTTTAATATTTTGATTTTGATAAAAATATTTAAAAAAACATGATTGAAATTGTCTGATATAATTTTTAATACAGTCAAAGGTGTAATTTTAAAATTACATTACAATTGTGATCCGATGCAAATATAGTGACAATTGCATTCGTAATTTTGCGGACGCAATTATAGCTGCAAACCACAATTTATAACTATGAATGAAGCTCCTTCTTTAGTTATTTTTTTTAAGTTAAAAATTAATCTCTCAAATTGTACATGAAAAATATTCGATTTTCAAAAAAAAAGAAAAATTGATTAGAGAAAGAAAGAAGTGAAAATGGAGGGTGAGAAGAGGTTAAGAGAAAAGACAAATAAAGGGTGGTCCATTTACAGCTGGGAAGCAACAATGATGCACAAAAACATGCATTTGAAAATACTTCCAAATAGTGTCATTAATTCATGCAGAATAGAACTATTAATATTTTTAGATTTAATTTTATGATTGAAAATATTGAAAGTAAATATGGATCGTTGATGTTAATGGAAAGGTGATTGATGTATGAGACTGCGTAAGTCCAGAAAACATTGGCAGTTTGGTTGGGCTAAGTAACTTGGTCGATCTTTTCACTTGTCCCACACATAATGAAAAGAGTGCATGATACTACGAGACAATGAGCTGTCGAAGAATTATAGAATCTCATTCTCAAAATCATATTCACCAATATATTGTGGTTGGTTTTCATCATTTTGAATACATACGACTGCACAGTGCAGAAACGTTAAATTTTGTTGCAGGTTTTTTTTTTTTTTTTTTTTTTGGCAATGAAGAACTCACACCTTGGTGTCTAATATTTACTATAATAAAGTAGATATTTTTTAACAAAATTTCATATCAGTGTAAATTTTGATCGAGGTAAAAACAAAATACAGTGATATTTTTAAATTTTGAACAATTTGTTTTATATATTGTCTCCGTTGGCAATTGAATCAATAGAAAAAATCATAAATATTTCATTGATTATCTTTGTGTTAAAAATATTTTGAATAATTCAAGTGTTGTAACCGGTTAACACAGGGTGTAATCAGTTATAATAAGGAAAATTTCACTTCTGAATTAGAAAAAGGCAAAACTTCGCTGTTGTAATCAGTTAACTTCTAAGGTTAATCGGTTATCACTGAAGGTGTTATTATTGTAGTGTCAGCTGTAATTGGTTAACCAATTGGTGTAATTGATTATAGGTCCGAGTATTTGGATTTTTCAATTGTGTACTTGTATGTTTTAGGTCTCAATCATTTTATAACACTTGTATAAATGCCTTGGAGGCATTCTCATCTTTAGTTAAGGCAATTATCACTCACTCTCTCTCTCTCTCTCTCTCTCTCTCTCCACATTTCAATTTTCTCCATCATTGCTCACTAATCTTGTGGTTCAAAGTTTCAACATTTGCCATAAAGAGTCTGGTTCTGATCCATAAACACCTAATGTGCAACATGAATTCTGTCTCCAAAAAAATAATCTTTGCAAACTTATCTATCCTTGATGTGAAGAATTACGATAATTTGTGCAAGCAAATGAAAGTGTTGTTTGGCTACCAAGATGTTCTTTAGGTGATCAAGAACGAGGTGACTCCCATTTTCCAAGGTGTAACAGATGCACAACAAGCAACACATAAGGAAGAGAAGAAGAGAGATTTCAAGGTGTTGTTTTGACCTATCAATGTCTGGATGGTGACAACTTTGAGAAAGTTGGTGATTGTGAATCATCAAAACAAGCGTGGGAAATCTTAGAGAAGACTTATGCAAGGGATGATAAGGTGAAGGTGGTGAGGTTACAAACTCACAAGCGTCAACTTGAGTTGATTCAAATGGAAGAAAACGAGAAAATCAACGATTTTACAACAATAATCACTCAATTAGTGAATCAAGTAAAAACGTGTGAAGAAACAGTCACAAAACATTACGTTGTTGCAACAATCTTGCGTTCTTTAACACCAAAATTTGACAATGTAGTTGTAGCGATTGAGGAATTGAATGATCTTGCGACGATGAACAAAAAGGAACTAGAAAGCTCTCTTGAGGCTCATGAGCAAAGGATGGAGGGGAGAAATTTTAATGAGGTAAAGGCATAAATCACTTTGCAAGCTCGATTCAACTAGAAGGACTAGAGATCGAAAGTAAATTAGCCAATGAAGAGTAAAGGGAATTTTTAAATTTTTGGTGGAAGAGGGTCCCAAATTTCCAAGAATTCAACTTGTCAAAAAGGTGACGGCAGCTGCAAAAAATGGTGATCAAGACAACTTTAGAGGTGAAAAGAAGAGGTTATACAAAAGCAAGAAACAGTGCTTTAGGTGTTAAAGGTTCGATCATTTTGGAAGATAATACAATGCGAGCAAGAAGGAACCTCAAGGAGATGAAACCAAGATTGCAAGACAAAAGTTTGATGAAGAGAATACACTCTTGGTCATGATCACGAAAAGAGAATGCAGCAGCAACAAGAACAACAATTTTGGGAATGCTGCAAAAACAAGCCTTAACTGTTTACATGATATGATTAACCGATTACATGAAGAAGAAAATGTCATGATGAGTACGAAAGGTGTTATTATTGTAGTGGCAATTATAATCGGTTAACCAATTTGTGTAATCGATTACAGGTCCGAGATTTTAGATTTTTCGATTGTGTACTTGTATGCTTTAGGTCCTAATTATTTTATAACACTTGTATAAATTCCTTGGAGGCATTTTCATCTTTAGTTAATGCAATTATCACTCTCTCTCTCTCTCTCTCTCTCTCTCTCTCTCTCTCTCAATTTTCCTCTTTCACTTTCCACATTTCAATTTTCTCCATCATTTCTCACCAATCTTGTGGTTCAAAGTTCTAACATTAGACATCAAGAGTCTGGTTTTGATCCACAAACACCTAGTGTGCAATATGAATTATGTCTCCAAAGAAAGAATCCCTGCAAACATATCTATCCTTTATGCAAAGAATTATGATAATTTGTGCAAGCAAATGAAAGTGTTGTTTGCCTACCAAGATGTTCTTGAAGTGATCAAGAACGGGGTGACTCCCATTTTCCAAGGTGCAACAGATGCACAACAAGCAACACATAAGGAAGAGAAGAAAAAAGATTTTAAGGTGCTACTTTTTACCCATCAATGTGTGGATGGTGACAACTTTGAGAAAGTTGGTGATTGCGAATCGTCAAAGCAAGCGTGGGAAATCTTACAGAAGACTTATGCAGGGGCTGATAAGGCGAAGGTGGTGAGTTACAAACTCACAAGCGTCAACTTGAGTTGATTGAAATGGAAGAAAACGATACAACCAACGATTTTACAACAAGAATCACTCAATTAGTGAATCAAGTGAAAGCACGTGAAGAAATAGTCACAAAGCAGTATGTTGTCGCAACAATCTTGCGTTCTTTAACACCAAAATTTGACAATGTAGTTGTAGCCATTGAGGAATCAAAAGGTCTTGCGACGATGAATAAAAAAGGGCTAGAAAGCTCTTTTCGGGCTCATGAGCAAAGGATGAAGGAGATAAATTTTGAAAAGGAAAAGACAGAGATCACTTTGCGAGCTCGATTCAACTAGAAGGACAAGAGATTGAAAGGAAAATGGCCAATGAAGAGTAAATGGAATTTTCAAAATTTTGGTGGAAGAGAGTCCCCAAATTATAAGAATTCAACTTGTTAAAAAGGTGACAGCAACTACAACAAAAATGGTGATCAAGCCAACTTTAGGGGTGAAAAGAAGAGGTTAAACAAAAGCAAGAAGCATTGCTTTAGGTGTTAAAGGTTCAGTCATTTTGGAAGATAGTGCATGCGAGCAAGAAGGAACCTCAAGGAGGTGAAGCCAAGGTTATAAGACAAGAGTTTGATGAAGAGAATACGCTCTTGGTCATGAT